AGAAGTCTTCCTGGTAAAGAGAATATTTGATTTCACCCTGTTGCTTAGTATAGTAAGTTGCAACTAGAGTAGGCCCATTAAATCAGTGGAACCTACAGAGAAGTAAAATCCCCACTGATTTAATGCCTACTCTAATTGCCACTTAAGGCACATCTGCACTAGCTCTTTTCCTGTGGGCTTGTGTGGTCTAAACAGGGTTACTTGAGGGCAGTGGGGAGGAGCAAAATGCCATTTGGTGTGATCATCCTGTCCAAATGTCATATTGACCTCAAACAATCCTCTGGCTCCTTCTGCTGTCAATTGAACATTTCTCCTGCTCCTCTGTGAAGAGGCAGGAGAAGTGAAATTATTATTTTTGCCTGTGCTAGCCACTGTCAGCTTGCCTCAAGGAAGGGATTTGGAAACTGGAACATAGCTTTCTAGTTTGCATTCTACAGAGCTGGCATGACAGCATTAGTTTACCCAAAAGGTTAAACGTTTCTCCATTTTATGTATTTTACCTACTCACACCTTTGCTTCACCCATTTCATTAAGTCTGAAACAGCCCTTTAAAATTTTTTGGCACAGAGGGACTACAGCCACATCCAAGCTGTTCTCGCTTCTTTCTTCGCACAGTAACTATAGTACACATCATACGCTCATCTAGAATCCTCTAGCACTGGGTAATTAATTCTATATAAGGAAAGTTTCTGTTGGAATTTGTATTTAGTGTTTGTATATTTAAACTCCAGTTTTAAAAAGCCAGGAAATGCAATTCTTCAAAAAATCAACAGTTTATGCATGTAGGATACTGTATTGTGTTTCTGTACATACAATTCAAAAAGGCAGGAAATGGCCCAATATTCCTACACAATATCATGCCTGCATTGCCTAGCTTTACATAGCAAAGGGCAGTCTGAATGTTGACAACACCAATGGCAGCAGTCAAGATAGTCTACAGGACACCCTCCTTGGCTCACTATCATTCACATTTGTTGAAAAATAGCCCTGACAATTGTTTTGTATTTGAGTGAGAAGTGATCAACTGATGGCCCAAATTCATGCCCATCTCTAACGTTGTCACTTTGTGAATGGCAGTGATCACAAAAGGTTATCCTGTAGACTGTCTTGGCTGCTGCCATTGGTGTTGTCAACATTCAGGTTGCCCTTTGCTATGTAAAGCTTTTCCTGCTGGCAATGTGGGCATGATATTATTGTGCAGCAATATTGGGCCATTTCCTTGCTTTTTTGAATCATGGGTACAGAAGCACAATATTCCACATTTATAAACTGGAGGGTTTTTTAAAAGAATTGAATTAGTTTGCTTCCTGTGAAATACATGTGAAAATGGTTTCCTCCAGAAACTGCCTCCTAGATTATCTAAGTGTTGTCAGTAGATGCTTTGCATTGCCTGTTACAGTGACTGCTCCCTCAGTTTAACATTATAGGTTCCACAAATAGGGAATGTTCCTTGAAGGGTTTCAGCTCCAGAAGTTGGTTTTGCTATCAGCTGATAAATAAGATGGTACTTTCTGAAGACTAGGAGCAACAACTCTTTATTGCCATTGTGGTGACTTTTTCTCCTGATGTAGCTACAGTTTGGAAATATTGTATCCCCAAAAACAATGTTACCTCTCTCATGTTACTATTCTTACCGTAGCTAACAAGGCCATACCAATGGTGGTTTTGTAAATCATATAATGACTCATCTTTGCTCATTATTTGGGGAGACGGAGTGTACTGGCGCTTATTATATACAAGGTAGCTGGGTTTTCCTCTGTCTCTAATTACTTTAAAGTGACTGTATTTTGCACAGGACCCTGTCTGCTGCTGCTGCTGTCCAAGTGACCCTGACTCCTACACTTTCCTAGAATAGAGGGGGGCAATGTGGTGAAACCTGATCCTGCACCACTCACTCTCAAGCCACACTTAGGAGTCCAACAAGCAGCTAGCCACATGTCCTAGTGTGCCTTGAGACTGAACAAGAACAACATGAGGTTCCATTATTTTGTTTTGGTCAGTCTAATGTCTTTTGGGAGTTGTGCAGCAGCAGTAGACAAGGTTCTGTGGGTCAGAGTCTTGTTTTAAATTAATGAATGGAAGGGAAAATTTCCCCCAGTGCCCTTATTTAAGGGGAACAGCAATACCATGCTCCTGTGTTTCCCCAATAACAACTGACATAATGAGCTGTGTATTTAACATGCCCCCAGGTGAGCAACAGTGGATTATTTTCTTAGATTGCATAACAAGTTAGGCAATGAACTACTTTAAGTAAATAACTGCATATGACATGGATGTACAAATATATAGTAGGAAGATTAGACTCCTGGATGTTGGGTGAGGTGGTGGGTTTAACTGTTCCATTCAGGTTTCCTTTACTCTCCCATCACCTAATTGCACACACTTCCCCAAATCACATCAGTCAATTGTGCAGAAACTGTGCTCTATTCAATTTAATATCTCAGGAAACTAAAGAAAATTGTAACATATTATTATTGGGAAATCCTCTTTCATTGTCCTTAAAATAAAATAAAAAACCTATATGATCAAATTAAGTTCAGACCCCTTCAGTACGTTTTTAGAAATAATATTACAAAATAGCTTAAAAACTTGAGAACATGATATTTATGATTTGGAAATCCTTGCACAGCAACAGCACTCTGTTGGGTGATCCTTCCACTCCAGAAGCACCATTGGATTGCCTCTGACACAAAGAAGATGGTCATGGGCAATGTCCAGAAGATCCTTTTAAAAGTCACTCCAAAATGTCATGTGTTTATTCCAGTAGCATTGGTCACAAGGCTGACGAGTAAATTCAGTGTTTTCAAAAACTCCTTAACATGCCACTGAAATTTCCAGTGCCGTTTTGACCACCTCAGGAAATATAATTGCATACATATCAGTGGCAGTGACAACTCTGAAATACTGTTTCTGAATCAGAAACTATATGACTTGATCCCAGATAGGCTGCAGCTTCTGATTCACAGTCTTTCCCCACATATTGAGGGTAAATAGGTACCTAGTTTCTGGTTCTGTGTCTACCTGCTTTCCACAAGAAAATCCTGCATTTATTTATTTACATGGTTGAAAGACAATATTAAAGTTAACAATGGTGAATATAGAAATACTAAAAACGATCAGACAAATACTATACGAAAACATAAGCAACACCAAAACACACTGAAAGCAGTAAAGTACAGCAATCTATTAAAAAGTAAAAACCCACTCAGGTGGCAGTCACTCAGGGAAAACCTTCTTGAAGAGACAGGTTTTCCTGTCTGTGGGAAGGACAGCCAGCCTAACATCCTATGGAAGTGAGTTCCAAAGTCTAGGATTAGCAACACAGAAGGTATTCTTATAGTATAGTTCAGGGCTAGTATTCAAATACTGAAGCTCTGACACTGCATTTGTTATGTTCTGTTTAAATGCCCCAGTTAATCCAGAAGTAAGTTCAGTCAAAATGTTCTGTCAGTTTGCAGCAAAAGACAGCATTGTGTTGCATTGATTGGCTGACAAATGTAGTACAGTGGTGCCTCGCATTACGACGTTAATTCATTCCAGCGAAATCGCTGTAGAACGAAAATGTCGTAAAGCGAAAATAAAAAAGCCATTGAAACGCAATAGTATCTTGTGGGTTAGGTTCTGTTCGTGGATTTTAAGAATCAAACCAATGTTTTCTTCTTTGTACATATATATCTCCATGATTGTCATTTTAGATGCAAAAATCATCATGTCAGTCAGTGTTCTATCAAAAGACCTATGGAGATGAATAAAATTTGACCACCATCCCCCCCAAAAAAAATATTGCAATAGGTTAGTCTGTTTATTTTTCATTGCCATAGTCAAGCTGTAGAGACTCTTCAAGAGAACACGCTTCCCTTTAGATTTTTTATTTTATTTTTTGGTTTGTAATACCACTCTGGCTAGTGAAATGTAGATATTGTGACAGGTTGCAGGAGAGAAGACATAATGTGTCACTATCCATTTCAAAAAGACTTTATTTCACTATCAGAAGTCTTCCTGGTAAAGAGAATATTTGATTTCACCCTGTTGCTTAGTATAGTAAGTTGCAACTAGAGTAGGCCCATTAAATCAGTGGAACCTACAGAGAAGTAAAATCCCCACTGATTTAATGCCTACTCTAATTGCCACTTAAGGCACATCTGCACTAGCTCTTTTCCTGTGGGCTTGTGTGGTCTAAACAGGGTTACTTGAGGGCAGTGGGGAGGAGCAAAATGCCATTTGGTGTGATCATCCTGTCCAAATGTCATATTGACCTCAAACAATCCTCTGGCTCCTTCTGCTGTCAATTGAACATTTCTCCTGCTCCTCTGTGAAGAGGCAGGAGAAGTGAAATTATTATTTTTGCCTGTGCTAGCCACTGCTGATGCACTAAATCGCTTAGATTTTTAAAAAAACTTTGCCTTGTGTATACTGCTGATCAAGAAACTGCCTACAGCCACAGTTTCAATCGGCACTTCACACAAAGAAAAATAATAATTTCTAATTTCGTCTAAGTGATTCAGTTTATCGTTGATGGTACTGAAGTGGCTAATTTATTAAGCCACTTCATGACACTGGAAATTCCAACTGGAAGGAGCATTGGTGGCTGCCAGGTTCAGCTTTAGGCCATTCCCAGCGACTTCATGAACTGGGAAAGGCCTAGAGTGCCCCAGTCTGCACCAAAAAAGTGGAACTTCCTGACAAGGGCCCAAAAAGGTATCATTGGGGTGCCCTGGGGGCAAATTAGTCTACTTATTATGTGGTCACTGGAAAAAAGAGCAAACCCAATCTGCCCTCACAATGCACCAAACAGCAGGACAAATACCCCTCTGAACGATCCATTACTGTACTGACCAACCAAATTTCAGCCTTTTTTTGTTCCTGGCTCTCTTAGTTTTTTAACCAGTAGTCACAAAATATTTGAACTAAATATAGACCAATTCTACATAGAGATTGTTGTTCCTCTATACTATTTTTGCCTTTTGTTTTCCTTCCTGCTCCCCACTTCACTTGTACAGGCTGTTCCACCACCTAACTTTGAGATGCCAGTTTCGATCCCAGTGTCCAACCACAACAGTTTGGTCTACAGCAACCCAGTAAGCTCACTGGGCAACCCCAACCTTTTGCCTCTGGCCCACCCTTCCTTGCAGCGGAATAGCATGTCTCCTGGAGTGACACACCGGCCACCAAGTGCAGGTAACACAGGTAAGCATTCCCCATTTCCACATCTTCAAGCCAAAGCTGGAATTAAATAGAACTAAAGATAATTTATAGAAAACCATACGTAACTGGGATTTCCAAATGAAGTGTTTTTGTCATACAGTTGCCCAACCTTATTTGTGGCACTTTGCAACATCTCAAATACTAGTTGGCTTCCCTTGTAATCTTCCTACGTGTTCTCCACTGCTTCTTTTTTTCTTACTCAACCCCACAAAATAAAAATTTTAAAGCACAATTAAGGAGAGAAGGTTGGAATACCTGCACAATGTGTATGAATGGTCTGCAAGCACTCACTGCATAAAATTAAGGGAATACTATGCAAACAGATTTTTTTTAAAATAAAAAGAGTTAGTGGGTGTGAACTATTAGAAACCTTTGTATATACACCATTAAATTAAATGGGAACTCTTAAGTAAGTTGTCCCCACAGCAGCAAAGAAAAGGCTAGTAGATTGTCCACAGAGTGTTTGCTCCAGTGTTACTCTGTTAAACTCAGCAAGACCATTTCAGAATGTGAATCTAGGTCTACTTGACATGTCTCAGAAATGCATTATATTATCTTTTATACAAGAAAAACCTAGGAAAGAAATTGGAAATCAGAAGCAGGTCATCTTAGCTGACAAAATAGGTCACTGGAATCTGCAGTTAAGTGGCTGGCCGTAGCCTTTGTGATAATGCGTAGGGTCATTAGGCTTTATTGATGGTGATGTATTGTTCCATCTCAAGGCTGGATTGTCTCACCTTTTAAGCAAAGTGCTGCCTTCCACCAAGTACAGGATCACCTCTAAGTGGGATAAATAGGGATTAAGATCCTTCACTCTGTCTGCTTGAAGAGCTCTCCTTAAGCACACTGAAATTGGAAGAGTCAAACAAGGACTCCAGCACAAGGAAGATATGCACATTGGAAACCCTTGACTTCACTGTTGACAACAACAATACTGCACAAAAACACATCTAAATACCTTGCAAAGATGTCAAGGGAAGGGCCTTCACAATTCCTCTCAAGCATTCAATTAACATTGGGTTAAATTTGTTTATTTTTTTCTGACACCATTCATAGCAACAGCTTTGCTTTTATCTTGATTCTTGGTGCTGTGGCACATGACCCAATGCAAAAGAAGTGTTCCAGAAAACAGCACTTAACTTTCCTTCAAGATACACATGTATTTGCCATGGGGAGCTAGATATACAGGTTGCACAATCTCAGTCACATTGAAGGTACTGAAGCAGTTTGAAATTCCAACTTGTTGTGATCAGAACAATTTGCAATGCTTAGAGCCTGTTCTGCGTTGGAAGTTTATGCAGTCAAGAGACAGTTTGACAGAGCTGACCCAAGACATATTGCTGCCTGAGACAGAGTAGCAAATAGCACCCCTTACCCATCCCTGTTTAACTACCTAATCCGTATCTAAAGGTAACCCAGTTTTTTTGGCACCACTCCCCCTTCTTGACTATCAGAATACAATAATAGCAAATTAAATGAAATAACTAACAATTTGCTACCCTTTCATCGCACCAAAAAAAAAAACTGTTGCCTGGAGTGGATGTCTCACAGTGCATAATCGTAGCACCAGCTGGAATTTTGAACACATAGGGTTGGATTTTTAAAAAACCTGCTGAGCCTTTTCTCCTATCTTCCATTTTGATCACATCAAGATCTGGCACTGCATTTAAAGCTGCTTCAAAAATTTAAAGGAGTTCAGAGTTACTTTTTTGCACTACAGATTCCAGAATCCTCCAGTATTATGGTAACTGGCCATAATAACTGGGGAAATAGGACATTGTAGTTCAAAAATATAATTTTTTTCAACTTTGGGAAATAATGGGAAAATGAAACTGTCGTCTAGGGAATTTAAGCAAATGATGTCTGTCATCTTTGCGGAAGACAGCGATTCTTCGAAGTCTTACGTAGAGAAAGGGTCTTTCTCATCTTCTGTATTTCAAGGTTTTAAATTCAAGTTTTAATTGGAGATGCAAGCCATTGCATTGGCCAGCAGCTTTGTCAACACAAGCTGTTCTGTGTGCTTTTCTGACTGCTAAGAAAGCCAAAGATACAGACATAACCTTAGGGAAGCTGTGACACTGTAAAGCAGTGCACATAAATGGCAGGTGCGCTGTGTTCCTGTTGCTGCTATAAGACACATATTTTCCTTGCTTGAAATATTCATTTGCTGCAGAGTTCATGGGATGCAGCCTATCATGAATATTTAAGCATAATACCAAGAAGTCTTTTAAAGAGGATTACATGGGGTTGAGCAGAGTGCAGCCCTTGAGATAGCTGGACGGTTACTCTCAGCGTTCTTTGCCATTGGCTGTGCTGGCCAGGAGGGCTATAGTAGGCACAGCCCAACAACATCTGAAGGGCTGTACCTATTTGTCATGAATCTTTGCAGTATGAACAAGGTCTACATGATTTGCATATGTCACAGTAAAATAGTTTAATCTTTGATTGAAATACTGAGCACTCAGTGCCCATGCTGCTTGCTCTGAGCTGTTGCCCACTGAAGCCACTAACTGGTGGTGCAGAAGGAACTGGGTCAGTGTGTGTGCCTCAGACAGCCCCATCATTATAAGTACACCATTGGTGCTGTCTCCATTACAGCTTGCCTTGCTTTGAGGAATAGGGCTATAATTTCTGTTTGACCGTTGTGGTTTCTTTCGTCTCCTCTCTCCATCTGACTATTTTATTTGTCTTCTCCTAGGTGGCCTGATGGGTGGGGACCTCACAACGGGTGCAGGCACCAGTGCAGGTAAACAGAAGAATGTTTTATGTCTGCTTTGAAAGGGTTACAGACTCCACAACAGAGGGCTAGCATGAGGCCAGTCTTAAAATAACTCTCTGTTCTATCATTGCAAGTAGAGTTAGGTTAACCCTAAGTGTTTTGAAACTCTTGCTCACAAGCACCCTTTCCGATATTTAAGTTCCCAACTTTCTTACCTCTGAAAGGTCTCCTCTTTAATTTTGTTTTGTTTTAAAGACATGTGCAGTCTTGCAGAGTCTCACTGGGCACAACAAAAAAAAATATCCTTCACAAACCCTAAAGCGCAGAGATGAGGAGATTTTTCAGACTACAGGTCCCAGAAATACTCCAGTCATCATGACTAGCCTGGAAATTGTTGCACCAAAAAGTAACTTTCTACTATCTCTAACTCTGACAGAAACTTTCATGGGCGAGCATGCGATGTACCTAGCACAGGGACATCAGGAATTGTAGGAAGTGCTTGAGAATTTTTTAGCAAGTAATTTCTGTGTCTGCTCCATTATTCTCCCATCACACATGTGTAGGAATCATTTAGTTGAGCGGCAACAGCTTTGTGTGAATCTGGACCCAAAGAAGCCAGGTTTTAGTCAAGTTACCAAGCCCAGAGTTATGCCCTATTCTGCAACACTCCGTTGCTCAAGTGGTGGAGATTTTTTGAAGTTGGCATAAGCATAAGCTCTGTTGGCATTGACAAGCTTGTGCAGTGACAAACTGTACATTGCAGCATGCTTGAGCAGAGTGTTACATTCTTCCAGGGTCACAAAAAGAAATTGGCCCAAGTCTCAACTTGAATTCAAGGGATTACTTACACTTCTGTGTTCACTGCATTAGTCACTCCCATGTCGGAGCTTCTTCTTTTTGGTCTCTGTGAATGCACACAATTGAGTTGTTCTGCACCTGCGCAGGACCTCTTGGAAGTTTCTAGAGCATAAAGATAATTGATTAGTGGGACGTTCACCCGTGGAGTGCATGCTCTGCCCATCCAAAGTCCCCTCAGTTCCTTTTAGCTGCCACTTCAGTTGCACCTATTTCGGAATGTTAGAGTGATTGAGCGATTATATTTTGTGAGATCATTCCTTTATTTTTCTTCTCCAATCATCTCTTTTGTTGGACGTTCCCCCTGTTTATTCTATGTTCTCCCCTTTAGATTATCCAAATCTATTTTTTCTTTTTCCTGCAGTTTTCTCTCCCCCCCCACCCTCCAACTACCTCTCCCTTCCCCCTTTTCCTACCTTTTATGGCCCCTCCAGGGCCTTTCAAGTGGTGCGTGCTCTGCACAAATAAGATCCCGCTCACCGACAGTCACTGCTGTTGCCTCTTTTGCCTTGGAGAGCAACATCAAACACACTCCTGCCCCGAGTGTAAAAAACTTACTAAACCCGCTCTTAAACTCTGACTACAAAGACTTTGTTTGTACATCTGGGAAAAATCTCTTAATCTGACTCCCATGGATCCAGTAACATCTCCACATCCGGAACATCAAGAAACCCCTCAGCCAGTTTCAAGCCTTACGACTCCTTCCCCTCGTCAGAAGGACCATTCGAAGTCAGCTTGGATTTCATGTCCTTCTCCCAACTTGTCACAAGAAAGGCAAAATACCTGGAACTAGATGTTGAAGAATCACCACCTCAGAAAAAGGACTTGGTCTTTGATGATCTAAATCAAGACAAGACACCCCTCTTAGCCTCTCATTCATTCCCGCAATGCTCGAGTTGGTTATAGAATTGTGGGATAAACCCTCTTCATCATTGCAAATTTCAAGATGCATCGAGAATTATTATAAGGCCCATGGTCCCGATACAGTTGTGGAGTAAGATTCTACCCATTCTTTAAGCCATGTCTGACGCTTCCAAAATGGAAGCTCTAAATATCCATGCCAAGGCCACGACCCTAGCGAAGCAGCAGAGAATTCCTTCACATCATACTGCAGACACCTCATCTAAGGCTATGTCAACCTCCATCGCCTTGAGATGCCATGCTTGGCTGAGATCGGCGGGTAACTCTGACAATGCCAGATCATGAATTGAAGACCTTCCATTCGATGGAGCTGGTCTCTTCAATGCAAAAACTGATGAAGTGATGGATAATCTTCATAAACTTCGAAAAACTGCATGTCCATATTCCACCCAACAGCACCCTCAATTTCCCAGACAACCATTCTTCCAACAGCCCTTTCAGTCCTACCAACATCCATACCGACCGTACAAGCCACCAGTCTCTGATCAATCATACTCCGGCCCGTCGACATCCTCGACACCTACCTCCCATCCTCAACAACAACAGACACATTGGCAACCCTTCCGATACCTACAAGAAAAGAGTAAGCAATATTCATAGACTCTTTTCATCTTCTTTTCAAACTAGATTACATCCTTTCCTCAACTCCTGGCCTTGAATTACTAACGACCATTGGATTCTTTCTATTATCCAAAATGGTTATTTTATTGAATTTAAACGTACTCCACCTTCTGGCACCATTAGGACCATCCGTATTCCTTGGCTCTTTGACAATAAATTTCCCTTCTCCTCCAAAAACAACCTATATACATAGTCCCTCCTTCTACCCTCCACGAAGGATTTAATTCGAGATATTTTACAATACCGAAAAAAGACAGAGGACTCCGCCCTATTCTTGACCTTCGAAATCTCAATAAGTTTATTCAACCTAAACGCTTCAGAATGTTGACGCTTGATAATATTATCCCTCTCCTTTCACAGGGGGATTGGTTTGTTGTCATCAACCTTCATGACGCGTACTTTCACATCTCCATTCATCTGCAACACCACATTCCTCTGATTCCGATTCAACAATGTCTCATATCAATTCTGTTCCCTCCCATTCGGTCTCTCTACAGCACCGAGGATCTTCCAAATGCATGACACCAGTCACTGGCTACCTCCGTCTTCAAGGTATCACCATATTTCCTTATTTCGACGACTGGCTAATAGTTGCCACTTCCTATCATGAAGCCATCAGAGCCACCCAATTAACTCTCAATACTCTTCGAGACCTTGGACTCAAGGTGAAACTTGCAAAATCCCATCTCGAACCATCACAGACCGCGACTTATATCGGAGCATATTTCGATTCCCTGCAAGCCAGAGCTTTTCTCCCTCAGGAGAGGATAATCAAACTAATAAGAGCAATACAACCTTTTCGACCTGTAGCCTCGGTATCAGCATATCAAACCCAGCACCTTCTCGGGCTCATGGCTTCCACAACTGCTGTTATCCATCATGCTTGGCTGAAAATGAGGTCCCTCCAGTCATGGTATCTGTCACTCTTCAATCCCATGACAGACCCATCCAAACGTCTCACAGTAACTTATGAGCTTGCCCATCAGCTCGCCTGGTGGATGTTTCTTTCACATCTACTCATCAGAAGACCTTTTCTACCACTTCAGCTCACAATATAAGTCACCGCTGATGCCAGCCTGTTGGGCTGGGGGACACATTGTCGACATCACAGAATCCATGGTCTCTGGACAAGACAAGAACAGTTATTACACATAAACCACCTCAAACTTTTAGCAATCATCAAGGCCTTTCACACCTTTTTGCCAATCATTGCAGGGCAAGCTGTACAACTAGATACAGACAATACAACAGCCCTTTATTATGTGAACAAACAGGGAGGCATGCACTCCCTCTCATTACAATACCTCGCTGTCGAGCTCTGGGAGTGGTGTTACCTACACCACATTTTCTCAGTAGCAGTACACGTTTCCACAGATGATAATCTACTCGCAGACCATCTGTCGCCTCAGCACGTGAACACATGAGTAGTCATTGGATGACAAAGTTTTTGATCTCCTCTGTCACTGGTGGGGTGTCCCATCCATCAATGTCTTCACCTCCGAGACCAATGCCAAGTGTCACTGATATTGCTGCCATGCCAGTACCAGGAAGAACTCACTCGGAGATGCCTTTATGATAGATTGGAACAATGAATTCCCCTACCTCTTCCCTCTGATACCACTCATTCAATGCACCGTCCTTTGGCTTCATTAATTTCACTTGAATGCTATACTTCTCGCCCCGTGGTGACCACGACAACCATGGTTCACCTATCTAAGGTCGATGTCGACAGACGTCTTCCATCTCTCCTCGCTACCCAATCTTCTCACCCAGGAGAAGTTTACCATCCAGACATAGACTCTCTGAACCTGATAGCATGGAGAATACTCCTGCCATAAGAGACATACAGTGGTGCCCCGCATAGTGACGATAATCCATGCAGCAAAAATCGTCGCTATATGGATTTGTCGCTATGCAGATTTAAAAAGCCCATAGAAATGCATTGAAACCCCTTCAGTGCATTCCTATGGGCTTAAAACCTACCTTTCAAGCGAAAATCCTCCATATGGCAGCCATTTTGGGCACCTGGTAAGCGAGGAATCCATCCCTGTTTTACCCAGCAGCCATTTTGGAACCACCAATCAGCTGGGGAAAAACATAATTATGCAAAAATCAGTAAGCGAAACAGCTTACCGATCATCGCAAAGCGATTTTCCCCCATAGAAAACATTGTTATGCAATTGCGAAAGCAATCGCAAAAACATCGTCGCAATGCGTTGTTATGTGAGGCACCACTGTACTTGATTGAGCTTGAAAACCTTCAACCCAACTTCTATATTGAAATAAATAGGTTTCCCTATCCTTTGCCAGCTCTCACAACTTACCTGTGATCCCTGTTTCTTTGAGCACTGTACTTACCTTTGTCCTTCATTTTTTTCATCTTGGACTATCTCATTCTACCCTGAAGGTTTATATCTCTCCTATTGTGGCGCACCAGCTGCTTCATTTCGATTCTGCTAAGCCTTTTTCCCACCCAACTTTGAAAAAATTCTTCAAGGGACTCCACAATATTCGCCCACCACATCAACATCCTCTTCCACAGTGGTCCTTGCAACTTGTCCCCAATACGCTTACTTGAACACCCTTTGAACCAATGGCTACTGCCAATTTTAAATTACTTTCTCTGAAGA